TGAATGAAATAATCAAGACCTAGGAACACAAATGCCACATGTTCTCTCTTATATCCAAGATCCTAGTGTCAAATTTTTATTATTTTATTTTTAGTTTTTAAGCTGAAAAAAGTGGTACAAAGTAATTGTTCAAGTCCTTTTACCAAACCAAAAATTTCAGTTATAAAACAACCTCAGGCAGTTAAATATTTCCCATTGTGAAAAAAATTAAAGAATTAATTAGTTGCTCTCCTTATGCAAAAATAAATAAATAAAAGGGAAAAGATGCTGGGACAAATGGATATCTAGATACAAAAGAATGAAGCAAAGTTTCCATCTCTCACACCAGCTTAAACTACAGCCAGTTGTGGTGGCACATGCCATTGATCTCAACATTTGGAGGCAGAGGCAGGAAGATCTCAACAAGTTCCAGGCCAGCCTGGTCTACATAGTGAGTTTCAGGCCAGCCAAGACTACAAGTGAATCCCTGTCTCAACAAAACAAAACAACAAAACAAAACTCAAACTATGTCAAGTATCTGTAGGAGTTAAATCTATAGAACTCGTAGAAGAAAACGTAAGAGCTGGGCTGGGGATACAGCCAGTGGTGGTGTACTTGCTGAGCACTCATAAAGCTCTGGATTGGAACTACAAACAAACAACCACAGGGGTCAATATTAACGATCTTGAATTTGACAATGGATTCTTAGATAGGATACTGAAAACACAGGCAACAAAAGAAAAAAATAAGTAAATTCTATTGTATCAAAATTAAAAAAACATGTATCAAAGGATGTTAGGGCACAATGTCTTAGCAGCAGATTCTTAGCATTTGGTTAGATGAGACACAATAGGTCAGTCATTGTATGCTTTCATTTAGTTGCCCAATGGATGCAGGAAGCATATTGTGGTTGGCTAGGAGATGAGGACAGGAAGAAATGGGAAAAATGAGAGGCAAGGAACAGCTTTCTCTCTCTCTCTTTCTGTTAGGTTTGATCCAAAGGACTTGAAGTATAAACTCTACCACTGAGCTACATTCTCAGCCTGGAATTTTCTTTTTGAGCGATGGGCATTTTAAAACAGTAGAAGTAATGATTGTAGAACACGTACTATGTGAATTTCATCTTGAAAATTAAAAAAAAAAGGCCTTAGCATGAGAAAGGAAACAACCTGAGCTAGATCTAGAGTGAGGGACCCAAAGCGGAGAGGTGTGAGCCATGGAAGGCTAGAGATCACAAGTGGGGGGAACACAGAGTCCGAGCAATGGAAAGTCATGTGTATTTGAGCATAATAACAAGATGGGAAACAGCACTCTGGCTTTGATGAGGTAAAATAACCACTTGAACGTGCAGATGGTTGTTAAAAAGAAGATAACAGTTCTCGGGGGAGGGGCGTCATAGACAACAAAACAATCTGTTAGCCCTAGAACCATATACGCTTTTGACTCAAAGAATTTCAGAACCAGGGCTGCAGATGTAGTTCAGTGGCAGAATGATAACCTGCTCAAGGCTCTAGGTTGGATCCTTCGCTGCCAAACAAATGGAAGAAGGAAAGAAGGAAGGAGGAGAGGAGGAGGCAGGGAGATTTCAGAGCCAGCCCCATGCTTTTCCTTTCCTTATAGATCCAGCCACTGCGCTTCCCTGGGTCCCAGAGTACCTGTATCTGCTTCCTTCAAACTCACCCAAAGGATAGTTCCTATTTTCCTCTGGCACGAGTTCCAGTGTGGCTACATTTCAGAACCTTGATACTCAAGGTGTGTCCCACGGGCAGGCAACCCTGGAGCCCCTGGGAGTCTGTTAGAAATGCCGAGTCATAGCTTCCTCTCAGAGTCTCCATCCTAATAAAATTCTCAAGGTATATACACATTAAAGTTTGGCAAATCCCTATGTAGAAAGAATAAGTGGAGAAGTCACTGAGATCCACCAAGTTGCTTGATTTCATTTATAACCATTGTTTTGCTTTTAGTCAAGTTTTTCTATTTTGGTTTGCTGTGTAGCCCAGGTTGCCTCAGTATTCCAAACTGTGGTTAAAAGTGTGGACCATCACACTTGGATGTCGGACTAGTTTCAAAAAAATGTTTTTGTTAGGATCTATTAATTATATGTAGCAATAGATCTCATTGTATTTTCATACATGTATATTTTTTGATCATATTTACCCACAGTACTTCTCTGACCCATTCCCACTCCTGTTAATCTCCTTAACTAATCCATCTTCTTCTTCTTTTTTTTTTTCCTTCTGATGAGCCAATGAGTTTCTTAGTGTTGCTTACAGAAGCATGGGTAAAGGGTTATGTACAGAGGCCAGGACACCTTACAAGTGGCCACACCACCAAAGAAAATGTCTCTTCCTCCCCAACCAACCATTAACCATTTATAAGTCCCAAGGGAGGGGTGAGCCCGATTGGTCTCCTCCATCTCCTTGACAGGATGTTGTTAGGCCTAATTTTGTGCATGTCTTGTGCTGATTAATCACAGCTGCCATGCACTAAAGAGGAAAGCTGTCATGTCACAAGGTAGGTTAGTGTTGCCCCCAAGGAAATGAGTTCAAGGGAACGAAGGGGACTGGGGTGAGGGGTAAATCAGCAAAGTGCTTGCCATGTATGCAGGGCCATCTGAGTTCAGATCCCCAGGACCGCAAGGACAAAGCCCAGGGAATGTAATTAAAGCCAGTGCTGTGTTCTCAGCACTGGGGAAATGGGGAGGAGCTCTGGAGCTCTGCCTTACTGGTCAGGCAGCCTAGCCAAGTGAGCAAGCTTCCGGTTCATTGAGGGCCCCATCTCAAAAAAATGAAGGTAGCGAGAGGAGCAGTTGCTGAAGACACTTAATGGATGTCCTCCTCTTGCCCTTACACATGTATAAACACACAAGAATAAGTAGACGCTCATTTATGCACACAAAAGGAAATAAGATTAGATTTCCAATATGGTTCATCTTTGACCTAAGTTTCTTAAATGGAATCAGGATGTGTCTCCGCCTACCTGAAAGCTTGTACTGAGTGAGTTATTCTCTCCATCTTCTCGGAGAGCATCTTTGTCCTACATACTTGCCACAGTGGTCTTGCCTTTCCTCACTCACTCTAAACTCTTTCCCACTACGTTTCCCTCTCCCTCCCACGTGTCTTTATTCGATTCCTTCCCTACTAAACTTCTCACATCATTTCCACCGGTTCCAGAAAGTTCTTCCTCACCACCCAGGCCAAAGCAGCTCCCTTGTTTTTGGTGTGCTGCCTAGTTTACCCTGCAACCAGACTCTCCACTTTCCACCCCAGCAACCACAGTTCTGCTCCACCGAGTGGTTTCTGACCACCTGCATCTGTCTCCTGCAAAGTGCAGTCAACCGTGTTCTTCACTTTACGCCCTCCCCCACAGCTGCATGGCACTGAGCTGTTACTTAGGCTCTGTACCTTCTTTCCTCATGCACAGATGGGGACTGAGCCCTCCTATTCCACAGGCTTGTTAGAAGAAGAATCCACAGAGATGTGGAGGAGGGATTTTAATGGAGAGCACTTTCAGAAATTTCCAGTTTTAGAGAGATAAACATGAGGTTAAAAACCCAAGTCGCTGGTCGGTCCCAGGTCAGGAAGGGGCAACATGGACGAGAGTGAAGTAATTCTCATTCTTTTTCTGCATCTTGTATGTATTTCCTGAGGTTCTGTCCTGCCTCCCCTGTTCTGCTCAGTCTGACTTAGTCTCTGTTCTCACAGCCTTAGCCTTGGGCCTCAGTTTCCAGCTGCTTTCAGGAACCTCCTCTTGGCTATTGCACTGAAACCATAAAACAAACAGATCCAAAGAGGAGCTGACCTTCTTCCCAGTGGCTACTCCTCGGTCCTTCTTCCTACCTCTGTCCCCATCTCTGACTGTCCTGTCTGCAATGTGACTTCTCTCTCTCTCTCTCTCTCTCTCTCTCTCTCTCTCTTGCTTATTTCTTCAAAATTATTTGTTGCTAGCCAGTGCACATTTTACTTGTTTAGAGCTTATCTTCCCTGCCAAGATGTTAATTCCATAAGAACAGGAATTTTGCTGACTTAGGTCCTGATGTAGCTCCCGAAACTACTACAGTGCCAGCTATTCAGCAGGTATTTAATGAATGGTTAAATGGTTATCAAATGACTTAATGAATCTTCCTTTCCTCTTATTTCTGTTGTCTACTAATCTAGTTAGTTCTATGTCTGCAGTATGTCTTGATTTTTCTCATGCTACTGACAGGTTGAGTCACTTTTTTGTTTGTTTGTTTGTTTGTTTTTCAGCCTATTGCTGGCTAATGAAATTTTGGCAAGTTATTTAAATTATCGTAGTCTCAGTTTCTTGTGTCAACATGAAGAAGCTATTAATAGAATAAATTCACATACATGCCATAAGACTTCTAAACATAATGCATGTTTAATATCTAGCCCATTTCTGGAGCAAAGCAAATGCTAGCTATTTTTTCTCAGTGAACTTCCTCCAGGCTAGGTCTGAGTTAGCAGCCTTTTGTTTGCGCTCCTTCCCTAGAACACTATACTTCAGCCCAGATGGACACCCTGTGCCTTGCAAACATGATGCGAGCCTTCCTGCTCTCTCTGTAACACATAGCAGGGAGAAGAAGCAGGCTCAGCCAATCCCTTCCTAACTGCAGTGCTGGAGTGTCAGTATTTGAAGAAAGAGTGGAGCTCAGAAAGGTTAATGAATCTCCCCCCCTACCCCCCCCCCCGAAGTTACCCAGTATCACAGCAGTTAAAATGTAGAAGACTTTTTCCCCCCTTAAACTTATTTTTGTACCACAACATGCTGGTCACCAACAGTCCCCGACTTACAAAGACTCATTTTCCATGCCACAGAAATAGCCCCAGCTGAAATGTTTGCCCTAAATTAGCGGGACCGCAGCAGTCTGAGGGAAGCGGTTTGCTATCAATCACCTTGAACTGCCTCGACCTCTGAACAGAGAACCAGGCAGTCAGCCCGATCTAGATGACTTAGACTGAGCAAGTTGTCCCAAAGAAGGGACTCATTCAGCGATAATATCAGTGTCCACAGACATTTACCTGAGCCAAGGCAGAAGATAAGTGGGAACAGCCAGATCATCTTCTGACGGGCGGAGTCAGGCACCGGAGCCCTTGAGACAGCCATTCTTCACCAGCTTGTCTCTGAGACTTCCCTTTTCTCTAGTGATGAGAGCTCTTCCTCTACGTTGGCAAACCTCTGGTTATTGATCTTTACTTTCACACATTGCTTATAGAAATGCCTTGGATAAGTGAAGACTCCTAGTAATGGTGGATACAGAAACTGAACTGGCCATCTCCTGTAACCAGAGAAGACTTCCAGAAGAGGGATTGGGACCACAACCTGTCCACAAAACCTTCGACCTACAGTTTGTCCTGCCTGTCAGCTGTGCTGAAGTAACAGCGGCGGCGGTGCAGAAATTGTGGGAGTGGCCAACTAATGGCTGAACCTGCTTGAGACCCATACCACAAGAACGACCCCTGACAGTGCCTGGAGAGTAAAGAACCTGAGGCTGGATAGTCCAGAGACCTAGGATAGAACCAAACACAACCGGGGAAAGAAGACAATGAAATGATTCCTAATGATATTCTGCTATACTCATCGATAGGCACCTAGCATAATCGTCATCAGAGAGGCTTCCACCCAGCAACTGATGGAAACAATGCAGAGACCCACAGCCAAAGATTAGGCTGAACTCAGGGAATCCCGGGGAAGATGGGGAGGAAGGATTGTAGAAGCCAGAGGGTTTAAGAAGACCTCAAGAAAATCCAGAGTCAACTTACCTGGGCTCATAGGGGCTCACAGAGACTGAAGTGGCAATCAGGGAGCCTGCATGGGACTGACCTAGGCCATCTGCATGTATGTTATGGTTGTGTAGCTTTGTGTTTTTGTGGGATTTCTAACAGTGGGAGTGGGGGCTGTTTCTGACTCTTTTGCCAGCTTTTGGGACTCCCTTTCTCTTCCTGGGTTGCCTCGTCCAGTCTTAACATGAGGGGAGGCGTCTACTCTTATTGTAACTTGATGTACCATGTTTGGTTGACATCCCTGGGAGGCTGCGGGGCGCTACCCACCAACCCCACAGTTCCCCAGAGTTTTCTTGAGTGAGAGCAGCAGGAAATATTAGATAGAAGGATTTAGAGTGTGGAGATAACCTGATAGAAAATTCAGGAGAGCCTCCAGAGAACCTGGAACCTATTTATTCCAATGGGCCCAGACTGTTTCTGCCCTAAGGTATTTATAGAAACTCCAAGGGGTGGAGCAAAAGTTCTCCCCCCCAGCACAGCCAAGTGCAGACCATCTCAGCCACCTGCACTCAGGCACCGAGGTCCTAATCATCCTCTCTGTGAGGACCTGCTGGGTAAAACCACTAGAACCCGAAAATGGGCTCCCACAGGAGGCCTGCCCTTTTCTGAAAGAAAATGGAGAAGGAGTGGGAGGCTGGGAGAAGAGCAGGGAGGGAAATTGTTGTCGGGATGTAATATATAAGAGAAGTAAATAAATTAAAAAAGAAACACCTTTATAATTTTAACTTAAAAAATTTAGGGAGACTTGTATCATGAGTTGTCAACGCATTTGAGAAAATGTCCACCTCGTCTTCTGGAATGTCTGTCAGATCCTATTGTTTTTGTAGTGTTGCTCAGGTCTTGTATTTACACATTTCCTGTAGTTCTGACCCCAGAAAATTCATCTGCTGGAGGCTTGGTGGAGACGCAGAGGGGTGGTGGGATCTCTGAGCGGTGGGTCCTAAGGGGAGACTATTAGGTTATTGAAGGTGCTTTGACAGTGGGTTTTCAGGTGTGCAAATGCCTCTGAACCACCTGTATGCTCACAGATAACCCCTCACTCATGCACCGGTAAGTGAACCCAATGAACTAATCTAAACTTGGTGTGGGCTCCTTTTTTGTTTTGTTGTCAGTATCCTATCTGGGGTGAATAGAGATACTTCTTCAAATCTCCCCAGGGGGGAAAAAAAGTCACAATTGGGACTGGGACAAACAAAACAAAGATGAGTCTAGAGGAGGGATTGCGTGACCTTCCCCCCCCCCCCCCCCCCGCCATGGGTGAGACACGTGCCATAGTGACTGATCCAGCTACGAGTAGATCATCCGTGGGGAAATCCTGATAGGATAACTCTTCCCCAGTGGTATGGGACAGTGTGCCTCCTTGCTGGAGTCTCACGTGTCCCCTGATATGAATAAGACATGCAGCTGAAGCCAAGCATCTTTGAGGGGAAACCCAGAGTGGCTATCTTCCTCTGTGTGGTGTGGTTGGCATACCCCTTTTATGAATGTGGTCTGTTGCTCAAGTAAAGGAATGTCCCTAAGCCGGCTGATGGACTAGAGAATCTATTGTAATCCCCCCAAATGATACAGCTGGCATGTGATTATAAGCAGGTCATGGAAATAGACACATGGTCTCTGCTGGATGCCATAAGAGATGTTACTGAGGCTACGATTTCTGCCCAGAAGGAAGTGCCAGCAGGAGGGGGGATTACAGTAGAAGAGACACATGGATGCTAGACTCTACACTGCCTTCTGATTTGGCAGGAAAGGAGGGAAAAGAAGGATTGTTTCCCCTTCCCCTCCCCCCCTTCAGTCAGTTAAAGAGAGCTCATTAGGCCTGGACTAGAGAATTCTTCCTGGAACTCAAAAACCTTGATTCGTGAGAAGAATCAGAAAGTGAGGAGTGAAGAGATGAAGTAGAAGTGTTAGAAGATATGCTTCAGGTCTGACTTTTAATCCATTTCTCAGCCCAGGAAACAATGCTAGTCAGGGGATATTTGGCCCCTAAACTTCCTCAACAGGGAGAGACTTTTAAATAAGAAATAGCAGAACTTTTCAAAGCCTGCCTTGGAAGGTCACGGGACATGGGGGAGGCAGATGGGATCAGCTTAACGTTGTGGAAGTGAGAAGTTGAGTGATGTCACTGATTTCTCTCTTTCAGACGCAGGCTGCAAAGTTTGAGGCAATGTAAGGGAAACCATTCCCAATGAACGGGCGTATATGAACAATTAGGGATGCTTGACTACCACAGGCTGCAATCCCCATGAATATCAGGGACTAGAAGACAATGAAGGAATGATAGACATTGTCAAGAGAACTGTGTATGCAAGACAAGGTGTCCGATGGCCAGGTCAGCAAGCCAGATGGGATTTTGTTCACAGGAGAGATAAAAATACTGATTCAGGATCCACCCTGGGACTGGAATAGGGCAAGTGGTTTTGCTGAGTCTGATGTTGTGTTATGATCTTTTAAAAAAGATTTATTTATTTATTTATTTATTATGTATATAGTGCTCTGCCTACATGCCAGAAGAGGGCACCAAATAGTTGTGAGCCACCATGTAGTTGCTGGGAATTGAACTCAGGTCCTCTGGAAGAGCAGCCAGTGCTCTTAACCTCTGAGCCATCTCTCCAGCCTGTGTTATGATCTTTACAGAACTGGAAAGTCCATATGGATCTGACTACAGATTGTGTCTCTATGGTTGCTGAGGTCTTTAGGAAGGGTTAGAAAAAGGGAAACCTGGACTGGTGAGATGGTCCAGCGGGTAAAGGTGTTTGTTGCCAAGCCTGATGGCCTGAGTCCCATTCTTAGTACTCACGTGGGAGGAGAAGAAGAGAAATGACTCCTGAAAGTTGTCTTCTGACCCCCATCCCCATACAAAATGTCTCAGCACCTACGCCTATAAACAAACAACAAATAATCAACATAATTTTTAAAAAAAAAGAGAGGAAAGCAGATAATGGAGCCTATTGCCCCGAAGCAAATGCAGACAGATTCTGTGCTTGTGAAGGGCTTTAAAACATGAGTACCAGTTCACAAAAGGGGAGAAAGAAGGAGGGAATGACTGATCAGTGCAAGTGGAGAAGCTTGTCTTAGGATTGGGCAGTTATCTCCCCGTGTGCAGTGTACATTTTTCTCCTGCAGGAAAGGGCGCTGGGAGTAGAGATTGCTTAGGATGGAGTTCTGTTAGAGGTCAGGAGTGGCTGATGGTGGTGGCGGTTAATAAAGCATCTTGAAACCTGTTTGATCCAGGGAGGAGGCTCCCTGAGTGGATGAGGTGGATGACAGCATGGATCGGCTTTCCCTTGTCCCTGGGCAGAGCGTCACAAACCAGCCCCATGGAGCCTATCAAGATTGGGGAGATGCGTAGTTCCCCAAGATGAGGTACTGGATGACATACGGATTATAACGATCATGGATGATAAAGATCTAAGTAATGTGGTATCCCCATCCTTATATCTAAATTGTATTTTGGAAAAAACAACAACAACAACAAAACAGTTGATATGAGGGATGGGATGTTTTTCATGCTATATTGCTAACTTTAAAAATATCCCTTTAGGCTGAATTCCAAGACCAAATTAGCATTTGCTTAGAAGAGACAGTAATGGACCTTCAGAGGCCCTGCCCACCCTCTGTAAAAGGATTCATTACATGATGCTAAATTTTGTGTGTATTACAGATTTGGAAAAGCATCTAGAAGAACAGTAAAAATAGTAGTTGAAAAGTTTTAAGGAGTGCACCCTGTGTGGGTGGGGGAAAAGGCACTTCTAGGAACACCAAGTGAGTTAAAGAAATGAGTCCCAGGAGTAGATTACCTCTTGAGCAATTATTGGTCAGGAAAGTCCATGAGGACCCCATAAAGTAGAAGATATTGCCACTGCTGTTAGCTACATGTCAGAACTAGATGCTAAGTTTCTACGAATGAAGACACTGTGTACTTTGGCTGCAGGATGTTAGGAAATCAAATTTGGACTAAATTGAAAGCTCACTTCTTGTTTACTAACTTTTGTAATAACTTGAGGGAACTATAGTAGGATTATGGAAGAGAATTGTGACCAACAGTGCTGCTTGGCTATGGACCTTGTGTGCTCTACTATTGACACTCCAGTCAGAACATGCCATTGCTTCATTAGTGGCACAGTGGATGTAAGCTCAACCAACTGCTTTCTGCTTGGATTTGAGGCCCATCTCACAGGATAGAACTCATATTTGGTACTGTAAACCAGGGTAAAATCTGTCACTGGGGAATTATAAGGTTGAGGGAGGCTACTGTTATTGTTTTGTTAAACAGGTATTTGTATCTCTTAATTTGCCTTCTAAATATTTATGTTTGTACCCATACATTACTGCAGCACATTACTGCAGAATGCCCCCCTCCCCCACATAGGTAGTGATTATTGTAGAAGTTGAAAACCAGTCAAAATACTGAGAATAAGTGACTTTTGCTGTGGGATGGTGAGTGCCACAGTACTCAGCCATAAATGGAAGAGAATATCCAGACATCATTATAACTCCCTTAAGAAACATTGTGGAAGAGGAAGTAGAAAGAATGTAACACCTGGAGGAAGGGGTGGA